CCCCCCCCCGATACTGTTTCAAAAGGGCTTTGTCAGTGGACCTGGAGATCCCAGATTGATATGGAGCCCATCGTGGATGTTGCTGTCAGGGGAAGGGGGGGGGGAGGAGTTTGCTAATTGGGAATTTATTCTTGTAGGCTGTCCAAGTCACCAGCTATTGAATTTAATGCAAAATCTAGTAAGATTGCTGATTAGCAATTTGGGGAATGACTGTTTGCATGCCATTGTATGATCCCAGGTTTGTGTATATTGTTCTTATAGGAATGGAATTTAGAATATAAACTCATCAAATATAGTCTTGAATGAAATAGCCATTTCAGACATGCGTGGTTAATATGAATAGCTTTCTTAAACTGACCCTATGCCCTTTGATAAAAAAGCTTTTCATATTTTGTTCGATGGATGATAAGATATGGCCTGCTCTCACTTAAATGGGATTCTCAATATATTTGTGCCAAAGTAGGCGGTTTGGAAATGGTATTGAAAGTGACAATCCAAAGCCCAACAGATGATATTTGACAATCTTTAATTATATTCAGTGGCCAATAAATGGGAAGGCAGTTTACACAAGTGATGCTTCTCTTCCCTTCTTCCCTGTTGAAGCTCCTGGTATAAACTATAAACATTTCCAGGTGATCAAGACATAAGCCTAAAAGCAGTGCTGTGTTATATAAAAAATAGGAGCTGTGCAATGTTTCAGATTTGGTTCTAAAAAATGTTTTGGAGAGAACACGGATGGAAACGTAGCACTGTTTTCAACTCTAAAATGCAGCTTTATATTTTCCTAGAAAAACATTTTAAAGAGTTGCAGAGAGGTACCATGTTAGTACTCCCAAAGCATCTTTTGGGGAGCTCAGTCCAAAATGATACATAACTCTGATAGATGTGATGCAAAGAGAGAAATTATCTGAAATCATGGACAGGAGCTTGCAACATCCCTTGCTACCTGCTTCTGCTCTCCCGTGCAGTCTTGTATGATAGAACCAATAATCTTAGATAAGACTCCAAATCTCCAGAGAAGACCTTGGGTAGTACATGAGGCTATGGGGAGGAGGAAAGGAAAAGAAAAACCAGTTGCACAAGTTGCCTTTCAACCACTGGACAATGATTTCTGACAGCTACATTAGTGAGAGAAATTTAAAAGCCCCAATTGTATGAAAATGAATGATCTAGGGTAGTGTTACCAAGATTGAGAAATACTGGTCTAGTATTATTGAAGTTCATAGTAGTAAATTAAGCTTTTGATATTGTCTGGGAAAGAATAATCCGAAGGAACAGTAGTGAGACCAAGTATCGGCTACTAACAAGTATTAGATTAATGCTGTAAAATCTTCTAATTAAAGCCTAGAATAGATGATGAAGTTAACATATTTAATCTGCTGTGGGGGAAGTGAAAAAAAACAAACTATTTTGGGATTAACTGGGAGACATTTAAAGAGCTTCAACTTACAAGAAAAAATACAGACCCCAAGAGGCACCCGCACCCCAAACATTTGGAATCACTCCTTGGTACAGACCACGTAATCCTTCTTGTTTCCAGACGGTTGACAAACAATGCAAGATACCATTGTATTTTGGTCTCAGCTCCAAGCCATCACTCACTATACAAAAAAATTGGAAATCATTTTGAAAACTGTATGTTCTTGAATCAATGTGAGTCTCTCTAAGACACCGGTGTCAAACTCACGGTCCGCAGACCAGATGCGTCACGTGCTGACACCCCCCCACTGGTTTGTTGAAAGGGGAAAAAATCCCGATACGTCACATGATGATGCAAGTTTGACACCCCTGCTTTAAGACAACCACAGTATGTTTTTCCCCCTCCCGGTGAGAACAAAACTCCAATTTTATGCATTATGTCTCCAGAAGTTACACTAACAACAACTCATCCTGATTCCCTAATAGTTAATAGTGTCCACAGCATCTCTAAATTCATTTAACAGAAACATCCAGGTAATAAAGAACTTCTTGGAACAGCATTTTTTATGCAGAAAATAGCTGCCTAGTGTGCTAAAATAATAAGACTGAATGAATCAAAGATCAGATTCAGTATTTGGTGACATACATAGCAATAGCATTTAGACTTCTATACCACTTCACAGTGCTTTACAGCTCTCTCTAAGCAGTTTACAGAGTCAGCATATTGCCCACAACAATTTGGGTCCCTGTTTTACCCACCTTGGAAGTATGGAAGGCTGAGTCAGCCTTGAGCCTTGTGAGATTTGAACTGCCAAATTGCAGGCAGCAGAAGTAACCTGCAGTACTGCACTCTAACCACTACGCCACCAAGGCTCACACATACATTAATGGAGAAGATAGGAGTACAATCGGGCAGTGACTACCTGTCATATCAAAGTCCTGTCAATTTCTAGTGAAGAGGATGCATAGTGTGAGTAGTTCTTTCCTTTATATGTTGTCCTTCCAAGTACTGGTAGTCCTCATCTTACAACATTCAAAGTTACAACGGCATTGAAAAAAGTGACTTATGACCATTTTTCACACTTAAGACCATTGCAGAATACTAATTGTCATGTGATTTATATTGGGATGCTTAACAACTGGTTCATATTTATGACAGTTGCAGTATCACAGGGTCACACGATCACATTTCGCAACCTTCTGACTAGCAAAGTCAATGGGGAAGACAGATTCACTTAGCAACCATGTTAAATTAATTGCAGGGATTCACTTAACTGTGACAAGAAAGGTCGTAAAAAAGGGCAAAACTTAACACATTTCTCATTTAGCAACATACATTTTGAGCTCAATTGTGGTCCTAAGTAGAGGACTACTGTAGTATCGTGGAAGCCTCAGCTTGCCAATTTGGAATTTGCAACAGGGAAGATGTTTGCATGAAAGGCAGTCCCTTTCAAGAATTAACTTTGATGGGGGAAATTTCTGGAAATAAATCTACGTCAAAATAGCGGCAGAAATACACCCAAAGGAGCACAAGTTAATTCTTATTAAAAAAAAAAGTCAAAAATAGGGCTGTGAAAATTTCTACAGACCCCTCACATTCTGGACATAAATTGTTTCAACTTCTACCCTCAAAACGATGCTATAGGGCACGACACACAACAGCTAGACACAAGGAAAGCCCCCCTCCCCAAATGCCATCACTCTGCTTAACGACTAATTCCCACAACATTGTCAAATAATTTACTAAGACTCTATACTATTTCTATTATTCTCTTCCTTCTAACTCTTCCCACTTATGACTATAACCATGTTGCTTGTATCTTTCAATTTATATTGTTTTTATTTGTTTCCTACTACGATTTGATAGCTTATTAGTAACCTTGACTATCACTAAATGTTGTATCTTTTATTCTTGATGAATATATTTTAGTCTCCTGTACACTGAGATCATAGGAGCCAAAGACAAATTCCTTGTGTGTCCAATCACACTTTGCCAATAAAAATTCAATTCAATTCAATTTTCGATTCTCTATTCTATTCTCTATTTTCTCTTCTCTTCTCAATGTTTCTTTTATATCCCACCTGACCAATAATAATCACACTTGGCCAATAAAGAACTCAATTCAATCCAATCCAATTTTCTATTCTACCTTCTCTTCTCTATTTAGCGCCCGCTCCTTTGGCGGCGGGAGGGGAAGAAGAGAAGGGAGCTCACCTGCGAAGCGGATCTTGACCAAATCCAGCGGGTGAAGGACCAGCGTGGAGGCAACGCCGCCGCTCACCCCGGCCAACAGGTTCTCGTAGCGCACGTGCCTGAAAAAGGACTTTGCTGCCGGGGCCGAAGTAGCCGAGGGGGAAGCAGCAGAGCCCGCCAGCTTACTCGGGACGCCTGGAACGGCGGCGGAATTCATGAAACGGAAAGAAGCAAAGGCAGCCGAGGGGGACGAAGGAAAACCAAAAAAGACCCCGCACGAGACCCGTAGACACTAGATTTCCCTTTGACCTCCCCGCCGCTTCCTTGTTATAGGCAGCCACCGACAGTCGCTCAGGGCTGATTCTCCAATCACCCGGCAGCATTCACAGCCGGGCCCTCCATGAGGGCGGGACTAGGAGACACGTGAGCGGGCCGCGGCGGCCGGCTTCTTCTCGCCTTCCGACAGAACTCCTTTTGCTTAAAGTTTCTCCTGGGCCTCGTCGTGGGATAGCGCCTCAAACCGGAAGTCCTTCCGGGGGAGATTCTCCTCTTCCACACGTGGTGGTGGTGGGGTCTTCAGAAGGCAGATTGACTTCCCCCGCGACGGCGGAAAATGAGGGTGAAGGTTCTGAGCAGGAACCCGGACGACTATGTGCGCGAAACCAAGCAGGACCTTCAGCGGGGTGAGCGCGAAAAGAGGAAGGGGGGGGGGAGAGAGGAAGAGGAAGGGGGGGGCGGTCGTTCCCTAGGAAACCGGCCTCACTCCAAGCAGCCGAGTGTGTGTGTCGGGGGGGGGGCGCTACTAAATGGCTACAGTTTAATCGGAATTATGAAGGGACCCGTTGCTTTCGTTACGAATTTTCTCGCCTGGCCCAGTTCTCGTCAGGCTGAGGAAGATTTCCCTTCCCCCCACCCCCCCCGGAGAATTAGCAGGTTGGATTTAGCCTTCCGCCTGAGCCCTGAGTTTGCCTCTGGGACTCAGGCCTCTCCAACCTTGGCCACTTTTAAGACTTGTGGAGCAAAACTGGCTGAAGAATTCTGGGACTTAAAGTCCACAAAGTCTTAAAGTGGCCAAGATTGGTGACTCCAGCTCTAGATCCCCTTTTTAGATAGGAGGTTCAGTTCTTGGACGTGAGCCGTCGTCCCAGCTCAGCTCCATCGCGCATGTGTGCGCACCTCTCCACCGGCCACCTGATTTTTGGGTGTCTGCTGCGCATGCCGGAGATGCACGGGTGTGTGTGCACCTTTGGTCCTGGGAGGCCTACTAGATCTGAAATGGGGTGGGGGTATGCGGTGCATCCCCTTCACCCACAGCCTGTTTTTGCACCCAAGAGGCTGCAGGGAGGCCTAAAAAGGGGCATGGGTGTGTGTGCGCATGCATGCATAGGGGTCAGGGTGAGCGCAAAGGGATCACGTGCAGGGGGTGGGTGCATGGGGTGGTGGTGCATGCACACGTGCTTTTGGCACACAGCGATAAAAAGGTTAGCCATTACTGGGCTAGGGTGTGGGAATTCTGGTGCTGCTTCAAGTACAAAGCCAGCTGGGTGACTTTTAGCCAATCACCTTCTCTTAGCCCTAAAAAAGGAGGCAGTGCCAAACCACTTCTGAAAAAGCAAAAACCTTGCCTACAAAACCTATCCAGGCAGTCTTCAAAAACCGGACTCCAAAGAATATGCACACATTAAAATATTGAGAAATTAATTGTAAATCTAAGATGGGGAAAAATTATTTCCCAGAATCATCTTGGGGAAGTGACAATCTTCATGGATGGTAATATGTTTATATATGTGTTATTTGCTTTCTTTCCAGTTCCACGAAATTACGATCCTGCGTTACATCCATTTGAAATTCCACGGGAATACACAAGGGCACTAAATGCAACTAAATTAGATCGCATATTTGCAAAACCTTTCCTTGCATCGTTAGATGGTCATCGAGATGGAGTTAATTGCATGGCTAAACATCCGGAGAGCTTGTCTACAGTTCTGTCTGGAGCATGTGATGGAGAGGTAAATATTACTTTAAGATGACTAAGCATATGTTTTCTTAGAGATTGTTAAGTGTAATTCTGAAAACTTTTCATGGATTTTGCTAACTGTTCTCCTGTGGCATAGACCCATGATGTCGAACCTATGGCATGTGTGCCAGATATGGCACACACAGCCCTCTCTGTGGGCACATGTGCTGTTGGCAGCTGCTCTCTTTCTGGTTCCAGTGCTCTGGCAGATGCTTCAGTTTCAGCACTCGGTGCCGAAAAGGTTAGCCATCACTGGCATAGACTATAGACTTGCTTTAAAACAATGGTTCTCAACCTTCCCAATGCCGTGACCCTTTAATACAGTTCCTCATGTGGTGGTGACCCCCAATCATAAAATTGGTGTCTCGGTTCCTAAGTCCATCGAAAATACGTGTTTTCTGATGGACTTAGGCGACCCCTGTGAAAGGGTCGTTTGACCCCCCCAAAGGGGTCCCAACCCACAGGTTGAGAATCACTGCTTTAAAACCTTATGGATACCTCAACAAATCAGGTGTCTGTAACTTATGACTGCCATAAGTTAATTTTGTTTAGTTTTCTAGCCAGCATGGGAAGCGTATAGAGATTAAAGGCAATATTATCTGAACAGTTCCCATGTCTTTCTCTGCTTATACCCCAAAAGATGTACAAATGTTTAGTTCTGAATTGGATTTGTTTCTATTTGACTGTTGGAAATAAGACATCAACTGTTGGAAAATTATCAAGTTTCAGCCTTGCATCAATTTAAAGTCTTATTATGAAATGTATGGAAAAATTAAACTGTCAAATGAAAGCCTGTCAATTTAACCATTACAAAAATTTCCTGATACTCTTCAGCTTTGTTTGTTTTAAATTTTTGCTCAACTCTCAGAATGATAGTTTGCTTCTGTTGTAACATGCTGGTATATATTTAAATATTTCCTATTTCTAAATTCATATGAAGATGAACAGTTGTATATTTATACTTCATTATGAATTATTATGATATAAACATGTTGTTGATTTATAAGGTTAGAATCTGGAACCTGATGAAGCGCGTATGCACCCGTACATTGCAAGCACATGAGGGCTTTGTAAGAGGAATGTGTACCCGTTTTTGTGGCACCTCTTTCTTCACTGTGAGTAATTTTGAAAATTAAGGAATGATATTTAATGCTTATTGTTGCCTTTTGCTATTTTTTGTGCTGCATTTGTTTAGCTTATAGTTTATACATTGTAGCACTTTTAGTCTACAATTCTTGTTTCTTATTATAGTTTATTTTTTGTGACAATGTTTCACTTTGAATATAAACTCTTCTTCCTGGAAGTATAAAGCAAATTGTGAGGTAAACTTACCCTTTTGTGGCAGAACCTGTTCATTTTTTTGAAGTCCCCAAACTAACAAAAAACAGCTAGATTTCTCTTTGAAGATAATAGGCAGCTGGAATGGAAAGGTAAACGTGATTTAAACATTTAGTAAATTGTGCAATTGTTAGTTTTTCTTCACTCTAACAATTTAGTAATTATATCCTGGTGGCCCTGCAGTATATGCTTCACTGTAGATAATAGAATTTCTGTTTGGTGGGAATATGAATTTATTTATGATTATTTTAATAAAGTACTATATTAGTCCATTTGGGGTTTTTTTATATTAACTGTGCTGCTTGATTCAGTGTATTTTCACATAGAATATATACTACTTTCTTTAGATCTTTCTGATAAAAGTAACTATCTTGACTTATATCAATTGCATTGATACAATTCACTACACTGTGTCAGATATTCAGTGAAATGTGTTGAATGGATGTTGCTTATTTTTCTTTAAATTCTGTTTTATAAAAATACCAAGATTATGGAATAAACATAAAATGGAATAAGAGAATATTTCTTCAAGTTTGAAAACAATATGAAAAATTGGCACTGTATTTACTTGATAGGTTGAATTTCTTATATATAATTCAAAGATTAATATTTTCATTTACATAATACTTTCAACCTAAAAAGGAAAGGGTTGCTTCTAAAGCCATTACTAAGCATGTGATAGGCTTTGGATCAAGGTGGATTTGATTTAAATCAAGTCCATTTAAATCACAGCTAAAAAGGCTTGATTTAAATCAACACGATTTAAACTATAAATTTTTAAAAGCAACTGTCATCTCTGTCCCACAGCGGCTCCTCCTCTGACCCACTGTTGACTCACCAACAGTCCCATTCACTTGAATGGGATGACTGGTGATGTGGCAGTACATAGCAAGGTGAGGGACATGGCAGACAGCAGTTGAGTGGACGCCTGCTAACAGGCCCTGACATGATGGATCTGAAATGACAGGTGCTCTTTAAATGCAAGGACTCATTCTTGCTGGTAGTTAGAATCTATAATATTACTATTTGCAAACAAAATGAAGGTTTCCTACTTCCTTGCAGAGCTTTGAATCATTGAATTAGTTTACCAAATACAAATATTGCAGAGTATTATCGTGCTAGATAATTAAGCTTCATTTCATGCTGAATAAATTAAATTATTAATGTATCTTAAACAGAAAACTATCTTTAGTTAGATTTTTACTCCAAAAAGATTTTATTAAAATAAATTTGTTAAAAATAAAAGTAATATTTTCCAAATCTTTAGGTGGGTGATGATAAAACAGTGAAGCACTGGAAAATGGAGGCACCAGCTTATGGGGAAGCAGAAGAACCAATAAATACCATTCTTGGAAAGGTACTAATTATTAATTATTATTATTTTCTTGAATTTGTTTTGCAATGTACAAAATTAAAACTGATTTTTTTTTCTGTAACTGATTTTTTATTTCCTTTAACAGAAATGAAATAGATTGGTTTAATATGCAGTTGTAAAACTTTCTGGAAGTTTGATTAAGAGAAGAGCCATTGTTTAGCTATGATTTAACTATTAATTGTAGTAGCAGCTATTAAAACCAACAGTAGCTTGCTCATTTGGGATTTGTTTTTAACTTGCTGTAGGTTTGATGAAAGTATGATCATATAGCTAAAAACTGATTCTCTTCAGTTGTTTTGAATTATAATCTTTTGTTATTAGCCATGTTAGCTCGAATTGATGGGCATTGACGTTTGTTGTCTGGAAGGCATAGGTTATGCACACAAATGAATTATTCTAATATCACATTCACTAAAATGCCATAAATCTAAATTATTTGTGCAATACTATGTACTGGTAGTATAATGTATATAATTTAAAAATCTTTCAAGGAGGCTTAATATTTATGCAGTTAACACAACAGATCCTTCACAAAAAAGATGTCTTTGCTTAGACTGTTACTAATTGACCTAAAATCTTTGACTATTATATCCAGTAGTTGGTTATGGTTTGTTTTTTTTATATTTTCAAGACAGTGTACACTGGAATTGATCATCATTGGAAGAAACCTATATTTGCTACTTGTGGTCATCAGGTTGATATCTGGGATGAACAGAGAACTAGTCCTATATGTTCTTTGACTTGGGGAGTCGATAGCATAAACAGTGTTAAATTCAATCCAATTGAGGTAATAATTTTATTAGTTTATATATGATGCTAAAATTATTTTCACTAGATAATACTAGGAACATGGATATGGCCATAAACCACATGGAGTTGATGTCTGCCATAGGAATTAGAGGTAAACCTTCATAAATAAAGCTGAAGGAGAATGACGAATTGCAAATGATTAGATAAATTCATTTAAATAAAAGAGTCTTCAATTGAACAGTTCTTTAAGAATTATTCAGCAAATGTGGTTTTACATTCAGCAAATGTGGCTTTACATTTTTTTAAAAAATACTGATATTTAAGGAAGGATAGAGTTTGGTTTTGCAAGAATAAATCTAATTCAGCTAAGCTGAATTAATTTTAACTCTTGGGAATCATGGATAGCAAACTACAGTTGGATCAAATATTAAGGTGCAAATGGGTTTTTTAAATGGTGGGAGAGTAACCTGCTGAATAGCAATAATAACAGTTTACAGAAAGAAGAGCAATACAATTAAAAGTTGGGAAATGAAGAGATCTGTACAAACCTCATGGCAAGTGAATGCTAAGACAATGAAGGGCGGTGTTTAGCAAAAAATAATCTTATGCTTGCTTACTCTACTCGTTCCGTACTTCCATGTGTAGGAATGCGTAGGGCCTACAGTTTTGTTCATGAATTATAAACTCCGGTAACAATCTGCTCCCATTCATGAGAAAGGGGAATATGTGTGCTGCCACACTGTCCTTTTCATTCCTGTCCACCTGTAGAAGGTGAACGTCTACAACAAGCCAAGGGAGCGGGAGGAGCCCTAGCATATCACTTTATCTTGAGAGCAGTGAGGCTTAAAAATAATATGTGTGGATAGAGTTTCATTTGTGAATCCTGCATTTTTTTAGAATCCTGTTCTCACTGAAGTACTGTTTGGGGAATATAAGAAAGCCTATCCTCTTTACCCAAGAACAGTTGAAAAATGGGTGAAGGATTATTGTTGGCAGCATGAATACTTAGAAAATGTTTGAGTTTAATCCTCCTTACTTGCTCTTTTCAAGCAACATATTTTTTTAAAGGTCAGCTGTTTTGCACACACGTCTTTGAAAGGTTTACTAATATAAGGATATTTATGCTAGTTCAAATAGGTCATTTACGTATTACACCTCTTTTTGATTAATAATTTCAGCTACATTTAAGAAATTCATTTCCTAAATAATGATATTTAAACTGTCATGCAATTATTATCAAATTCTAATTCTGTCAACTTTCATATTTGACATACAATTATTAAATAATTATTTTCAGATGAATCTTTTGGGAAGCTGTACTTCAGACAGAAATATTGTGCTGTATGATATGAGACAATCAACTGCCCTAAAGAAGGTAATAAATATGCTCTTAAAAACACCCATTTGCAGGGATGCATATTAATTGTGCTGAATACCATTTCATTTGATATTTGGATAGATTCTGCACTTGCTAGCCATGTCACTGTACCAGCCATTTACACACCACTGCACACCCTCCTTGATCTTTGCCTCACTTCCCATGCACTTCCTACCCAACAGTGAGCACATCTCCCTTGCCCCTTCCTTAAACCTCACTGCATTGTGTGCAATTCATTGTGCTTTCCTCGCATCCTTGTCATCTCCCTGAGTCTCACTGTACCTTTCTCACTTACTCCCCCTCCAGCAGCAGCCAATTACTGGGCTCCTGCTGGCTTCCACATTTGGAGTTATGCTTTACAGTCATATCACTTAGCAACAGAAATTCCAGTCCTAATTGCTATTGTAAGTTGAGGACTACCTTTAATTATTTTATTATGCTGGATTTTTTTTATCTATCTGAGTTTTATGACATACCTGGATACGGTGATGCTTTCATCAACATGAGAGATTGCATAGATTGCACAGTTCTTTAACCAGTAAAATCACATTTTCTTAATGTTTATTTATTTATTTGGTTTCTGTTCTGACCCCCTCCTCCGTCCAGTAATGAATGCCGAGACAAGCTTAACTGGAATGTACTTTAAGAGCAAGACAACAAGACCTCGATGGCTGAAAGCCAAGCAGAACAAACAGATAAG